ACGATAAGATATCAAGCATCTCATTTAACCTAAACGAGCTACTATACGCAAGGCCCGATAATAAGATTACGGCCCGAGCAATAATAAAAGACTTCTTAAATGCGAAATGTAAAAGGCTAAAGGATTACGACTTATAAAGCTTATTCCGGTACGCTTTCTCACGCTAAGATTAAACGAGTTTTACGATAACGAAAGACAATACGAGACGAAGCCTTAAGTTTGCTACCTTTATTAGCCTCAAAGAACACTTGATATCCAAAGGCGTGTAGTGCCCTCCAAAGCAAAAGGGCTACGTTAATAAGATAGTCAAGCTCTTGAACGACGAGTAGCAATACTAATAGACCTTCTAAGAAATAAAAGAGCAACAAGCAACACTTTTAAGCCTCGATTCAAGGTAGACCGCCGAAAACCTTACGGACGACGAGGATAATACGCCTTAAGCACCTCTACTATTTTTACGAAGTCTAAAAAGGAAGGAAAAAGAAGAAAAAGAAGAGATTCGGAAGTTACGCGAAAAGTTTGCGAAAGAAAAGAAGGATATAAAGCAAAATATAAAAGTAATAGCAAAGCAAATAGCAGAATTACGGACCTACGCTATACAATCCAACGAAAAGCTACGACGAAGCACTTTAGCGTACTCAACGCCTTTAATTCATTAATCGCTACGCAATACGCTAATCATTTAAAAAGAGCTAAAATCACTTTAGCGGCCTTCAAACCCTTTTCTTAAGAGCTACACCCAGTTTTCTAAAAAGCTTAGGCTTAATAGCAATAACAACAAAGGTCTTAAGATCATCATCAGACTAGATAACACTCGAAGCTACGGAAGCTATACGCTAAAAGAAGACCCGCCAAAACTTAAGAGCATACCGGACAAAATCAATTCTTATCAAGGACAGCGTGCAGATTTCCGTGCTTAACCTCAGCAACTCGAAAAAGGGATCCAACACCCTCGGACGTACCGGCAAGCTACCCACATCTCTTAAAAGGCTACGTATCAACAAAAAAGAGACCAAAGGTATAAGAATCGCTAAGGGCGTGCTCAAGAGTACGGATATCACCAAGCTAAAGCCTTAGCCGGTGACCCGAATAGCCCTAGCGATCTTGACGATAACCGACGAAAAAGGAACGGAGGAGATTAGCAAAGAGATCGAGGTTACGGATACGAAAGAAGTAAGAACGGCCCTCTTAGACCACTAAAAGGATTCGAAAACGGACCTTCAAAAGACCCCGGATTCGGAAATGAGCCTTTTAAAGACCTTAGAAAAGGACGGACCACCGGCAACTATATCGGTAACCCTTTACCGATCAAACTATTAGCTAAGCAAAGCACGCTTACGTACGGCACTCTAAGCGCCCTTAACGATAATAGAAACGATTTCCTTAAGTTAAAAGCAGCAGACCCTTACCTAAGAGCGAAAGAATTAGCCTTGTTCGCGCGAAGCTTTCTTAAGGAGCTAAAGTATTCAAGACCCGACGATAACTTTAAGACTTAATTAAAGATTTTTATTAACTAAGCAAGTCGATACGGTTTAACCTCCGACGACTACTTAACAGCGTTCTTAATTATGCTTACGGAAGAGGCTATAACCTTTTATTATAATCATATGATCAAGGCCAAGCTTCTTACGTTTAAAGCAAACGCTATTGCGGTAAAGGACTACTTCGAGACTAACTACCGGCGGCAAACAAAATACGACCGATAAAAAGAAATTTCGCTAGATTTAATCAAGAAAGAGAATCCAAGGACCTCGCTTAGCGAGTGCTTTAAAAAGCTCGCTAAAGAGCTCAAAAGCATTCAAAGCTCTTTACGACCAGGTTTAAAAGATGATCGAAGTCTTGCTAACAAACTGTATTTAACTTATAAAAACGTGCTAAAGACTACGATTGCACGAATGAATCCTGCTTTTACTTTTACCGCAACAATTGCTAACATTCGTCGAGCAATTGCTTTTATAACTAAGACCTTCCGACCTCCCGCCAAAGCTAAAGCTTACGCGAGCTCTAGCGAGCCACACGATCATACCTGCTCTTACAACACTTCAAAAGCTGACTCCGATTTAAACGAAGAATACGAATGCTTTATTCAAGACCGCTAATACTTCGAAAGTAAAAAAGCTGCTAAAGCTACTACTAAGAGTGAGAAAAGGTGTTTTGTTTGCAAAAAGCCAAGTTGTTAAAGCACTAACTACACCTTCGACGAAAGAAAGGCATCCGTCGCCAAGTTCTAAGCTTTTAAAGACGCAAAAAGGATGACGAGAAGCAAATTCTTTTAATACGTAGCATCGATCGAAAGCTTGCTACTTATATCTACGGAAGAATTCGATCAGTTTATCGCAAGCTTATTAAACGAGCCGCTCGAATCAAGCAGCCACGCCAACATATTAAAAGGTTTTATAACTACTTACGGCACCTTTGACGCTGACGAAGTATACAAACAACTAGAAATTCAAACGGCATTCCACGCCCTTACTAGCAAAATCGAGACCTAAAACGTGCCCGCGAGCAAAGCAAAGACTTACATAGCCTCTAAGTACTTTGAAAACGTGTTTATAAGCCTTATAATTAACAGCGGAACAGCCAATTTCTTTACCGCTAGCTTGCCCTAACTACGAGCACTTTAAAAGAAGTACCCCGAAGTCCAATTGAATACATCCCGAGCAAAAGAGAAGTCCGTCAAATACGGCATCGGCTTTGCTACCTTTATTAAAGCAGTTACCCTAGATACTCTTCTAAGTCAAGTGGAGTTCTACGTTATAAAAAACGACGTACCCTTCTTACTCTTATTAACTAATATAAACAAGCATAAAGTGATCTTAAATAACTTACGAAACGTGCTAGTTTAAAAAAAGAAAGAAATACTAGTAATAAAGATGTTTAAGCACGTATAGATGCTATTAAGTAAAAAGCACGCTACTATCTATTATAATACCGAAAGCGAGACCGTCTATTGCCACCTTACGGAAGAACAATTAAAAACCATTTACAAGCGTTTTAGCCACCTTTTAGCAAGTCGATTTGCTGCTATTTTTAAGAGGGCCGAGCACGAATTTAAGCGAGATTTGCTTTACAACATCCAAAAGTTTTGCTATTATTGCTAAGTATTCGAACGCTTTCCGAAAAGGTTTAATATCAAACTCAAAGACGATACTGACTTCAATGATACGGTATACGTAGACGTAATGCACCTTAACGGCAAGAACGTATTACACGTCGTTTGCGATTCTATTAATTTTCAAGCCGCTACCTTCCTTAAAAACATGTCCGCATAGTATTTACTTAAAAGATTCAATCGATATTAAGTTAATACTTACGTCGGACCTTTTACAAACGTAATATACGATCCCGGAACCAACTTCAATTCGACAACGTTCCGAAGCTACTTCAAAAGTATTAGCAGCACCTTAAAGCAGATGCTTATAAAAGCTTATTATAGCGTCGAGCTAATAGAACGCTACTACGTCCTTGTACGACGCGCCTTTAAGATCGTCACAAAAGAGCTTCTAAAAGCCTTAAAGAAGGACCGGCTTCAAATAGCTATCAAAGCCATCAACGACACAGCTGGACCTAATAGCCTAGTTCTTATACTTTTCGTTTTTAAGACCTTACCGAAGCTGACGGAGCAAGATCGACCTGCCGCGTCTACTTAAGAGCGTGCTGCTGCTATTAACAAAGCTATAAAAGAAGTACGAAAATGCTACGCTGCGAAGCAAGTTAAGGACGCGCTCAAGAAGAAGAATAGCCCAATTACGGAGCATACCTTAGACCTTCTTATTAGCTTACGGGTGCTCGTGTGACGGGAAAACCAAAGGTAAAAGGGCTCCTTTTAGCTGCTTAACAAGCAAAAGCATACGTGCACAATAGCTTGTCCGAAGCTTACGGAATTCAAGTCAACCTCAATAAAACCTTACTATTCTGAAGTTGAAAAGCTGTTAAAAGAGTTGCAAGTACTTAAAGTAAAAGTAAAAGAAAAAGTAAAAGAAGAAGTGGAAGATAATCAAAGCGAAAGCGAAAAAGAGCTAGAAATACGAAATTCGCTTAAACTTCAATATTCGCTTAATCTACCGAGGTCGCTTAATTCAAGAAGCTCGCCAAGACTAATAAACAGCCCTTTTAACCTTCAACTTGCTAATCCCCAGAAGTCAACAATACTAATAATCTAGATACTTTATTAGAAATACGATCTTAATATCTCGACCGTGCTCGACGAAGAAAAGAGCGATTCTTACGTTCTATTCATTAAAGACTCCGAAGTGTTGATTACCGACAAAGAACGCCGAGATTATAAGCTTTCAATTAAGCTACGAGCCGAAAGAATTATCAAGAGCCTTAAGGCACCATTTTAAAAGTTTAAAGCAAAAGAATTAGCTAGATTAATAACTTAAAGCATCTTTTAAGTGATCCCGAGCACCGACTTACGCGCTAAAAGCGCTAAGATCTTCGGATCTAAGTTTATTAATAAGATCAAAGGCAAAGGAATACTTACGCTATACGAGAAGTCTCGTATAATAGTCTAAGCTTTCTAAAACAAAAGCAAAACGAAAGTATTTACCGAGTCACTTACGGTGTAGCGAGCGGGCCAAAGACTTTGTTATGCTCTAGCTCCTTCTTTAATAAAAGACTACGAGTATCAAGTCTATAACAAAGATATCACTTAAGCTTACACTTAATCAAGCACGAAGCTTATCCGAATAATCGTCGTGCGACTACCTAAAGAAATCACTTATCGATTCCCTTTCGGCACTTTGTTCTTTATAACTAGCCTTTTGTATAAAATCTTCGAAGCAAGAACGCATTAGTATAAGCGTTTTTCAAAGCATTTCACGAACAACTTCGAGATAAAGCAATCGAGTTTTGATTCTTGCCTCTTTATATCAACTAATAAAGATCAGCTAAGAATAGCTACCTTACAAACGGATAATGTTCTTATAGTTATTAATCTAGCTATAAAAGCAAAAGAAGAGAAAGAGCTGGTCAAATCCAAGCTAAAGAGCAAGAAAATGAAGACCTTTATATACGCCGAGCCAATGATTTTCAATAGATGCAAGCTATTCTTAAATAAAGACGAGTTCGGACTATCAATAAAGCAAAAGAGGCAAAGGGAAAGGCTTGCGGTAATCAAGCTCGATTCAGCTACACGAGCTAAAGAGTACTTAAAGCAACGTGCCCGAAGGGCGTATTTAGCTACCATTTGCTACCTAAAGGCATCTTGTGCTCTATCGATAGCCGCCCAGCATCAAGAACCAAAGGACGAAGACTACAAAGCCCTTAATAAGGTGATCCAATGGCTGATCGATTACCCAACTCGAAAGATCTATTACGTGCCCCTAGACCTAAAGACTGCGAAGCTCTTTATGTTCGTAAACGAAGCGTTTGCTAACAACGCTAACCTTAACTCCTAGATCGGTTTCGTAGCTATCCTTAGCAATAAGGCTCACGTAAGTAAGAACGAGTTCACTTTAACGGGTAACATCTTACATTAAGTATCATAAAAGTGCAAGAAGATAATAAAAGCAGTATTAGCCTCTAAGCTATACGCGATGTCCTTAAGTATCGATATAGCCATTGCTATATCGATTACCTTTGTTTAAATCACGGCTTAGCTAAGAATCCTTAACTTCCCCGTAGTCGTATGCACTGACTCTTACTCGCTTTACGAATGCATAGTAAAACTAAAGACCACTAAAGAGAAGCGTCTAATAATCGATATTATAGCTATTCGAAAGTCATACGAAAAGCGAGAGCTCTCTAAAGTACGCTAGATCGGAAGCAAATCTAACCCTGCTAACGCTATGACCAAAATCAAAGCTAATATCTCTTTGCAAAAGCTAGTTTTAACTAATACCTTAAAAGTGCAAGTCGATAGATAAGTGGAAAGGCCGCTATAAAAAGAAAAAAGAGATTGTTTTTCCTTTATTTAATTACTTTCCTTCCTTTTTCGGTCGATATAATAGTTAGCAAAGCACTATTTGCTAAAGAAAGAGTTGCCGGTGTCGGTATATCCATATCGACCTTAGCTAGTAGTAGTAATAGTAATAGTAGTTAAAAAAGCTCACCCGTGAACCATAGTTCACGGGCCACTTAGCATGCCTCGCTTAGCATATCAGCAGTCAAGGGACCCCTAACTTAACAAGTAAACCTATTAGCTAGCTAGTGCACGTGATTCCTTCTAATCGTATAAAAAGAATCAGCTCCCCTGAGCCTTAAGGAGCAGACAGAATTCAGATACCTTATCAACCGAGTGTTTTGCAATTGCAAGTACTTTGACGACCGTTACGACCTTACGAATATATATTCCCAATCGCTTGGAAGCAATCCAACAGTTAGGTCACGTGCAAGCTCTTATATAGACGAGTAGTTGGTTCTTCCTTGAACCAGCACCACTTTATCACTACACAATACAATACACGTACTCATAGCACACATTCGAGTGTCTTTCGATCGTCCTCCTTCTCTTCCTTTATTCACTTACGATTCTATTATAGTTATATTCATATATATCTCTTGATTTGACGTTGGGTATATGTCGGAGCTCTTCTTTTCTATATATATTTAGTGACTTACGCAAGGAATCGAACTAAAAGTTAGTTTTCATACCCCTTTTAAACTTGCTTTTTTTGCGAAAAGCTATATATTCGGAGTTCACGTTATACGCTAAGCTATTGACTATATGCTTTTGCGGTACTCTTTCGAAAGGTATTCGATATACGCTAAGCTAATAGTCAAGTGCTTTTGCATATAAGCTTCGAGGCTATTGTTTTAAAAGCGATCTTCTTTCGATTTGTGTCCGTCGAGCATGCTATTCGATATACTCGATAAGTACTACTTAAGAAGTCGTTATTTTAGTTCGAGGATCGAGTTAGCTAGAGTTCAATTCGGTATTTATAAAGTACTATTTACTTAGACTACTTTGCACGGCGATACGCTCGAAGTACTATTCGTTTAGTATACTTTACCTTTTCGATTTAATATCGATTCTAATACGAGTTTATTATTCTTTTTTCTTTAAAAAAGTAAATAATAGCTAAGTATTAAAAATACTACGCTAAGCTTAAGAGATTGAAAATTCAATACTTACTTCGCAACGGAGATTACGTATAAAGACTTCGAATTGCTTTCGATTATCTTTCGCTTTAATAAATAAAAGATACGACGAGCGGAAATAAGTGTTTGCGATTCGGAACCGTTTCGATATCGCATTATATTAAAAGCAAGCTATATGCTTGCACGGAAGCTCGGCTATTATCCGACTTCGTTTTTATTTCGATATATTTAATCTCGGCAATTACTTTTCCGTTTATTACGGATCTTGCGTTATAAAATTAAACGTATTACTAATATCGTCTATTATATCGATTTAGTTTCGATTATTTAGCTTAACGCAATCGACACTCGACTTTTTAATAAATCACTTTCGACGCATCGAAATCTTATATCTTTATAACATTTCTTTATATATCTAATATTTATTATAAATTGTATTTATTTCATTTTTATTATTTATTTATATTTATATCATTTTATCATTCTCGTTTTTTTTTCGCATCCGTTTCGAGACACTTTTACACTTTAATCGATATTTATTAACTTAACTTAGCGAGCTTACGTTAAAGCTTTCGAAAATTAAAAAAAGCTATAACTTCTTCGACTTAAAAGGATTTCGGATTTAGCGAAGATGCTACTCGCAAGATAATTAAAAACGAAGTAAAGAGGATTCAAGCCTTTTCACCTTTCGTAAATGCTTCGAATTACGTAAGTATCCGTAGATCTCTCTTTAGACTTAAAGCCTTTAAAATGCTTGCTTTCGACAAAGCTAATATTACGGACTATATTCGCTAACTCGAACGAGCGTTTAAAAACTACGGTATCGTTACCGATTCGAAGAAAAAGCAATGCTTTATTAAATATAATATTTCTAGCCTTTTTAATTATAATATACGTTGCAATATTAAAAGCTTCGGTAGCTTTTCGAATCCGAAAGTAACTTAGAACGACTTTAAATCGGTAATTAAAAAAAAGTACAAAGCTTTCGACTTAGCTAAGTAGAAAGATAGTATTAGCTTCTTGAACGATTTAAGCAATAAGTAGATAGCAAAAGAAAAAGCTTTTAAGGCGGAGCTTTTATAATTCATTCGATAGTTCAACTTTACGAGCTTTGCTTGCTTAATTAATAAAGATATTACCGATAAGCAACTAAAGTAAAAGTTCTTCAGTTGCTTACTATTATCGATGCAAAATCGGACTTAAAAAAACGTTAAACTTAAAGAAGATCACTTGCAAACGTATAATATAATATATATTATAATAAGCGACTTAATTAAGCAAAAACAAATTACTACGGAACGGATCAAAAAATACGGCTACGCCGAAATCCTTAAAGCTTTTTCTCGCTATGACCTTTATTAAAACGAAAACTCTCGTCTTTAAATACCGTCTATCATTCTCGAAAGCAAGCGGAACTTATACGTTTCGCTTTTTTATAACACTTATTTTAATAATACTTATCTTCTTTTTTTTTACCGCGCAAGCATCACCGCTGCGAGTTCGATTACTCCGTTTATCGATCTTGATTTAAAGATCGAAGCTTTTACGAAACAGCTAGCGAAAGTTAATATTCACTTAAGACTTATCGACAGCTTCGCTTCCGTACTAAAAAAAGCTTATATAAACCTATTAAAAGCTGCTTAATACGAAAAGACTTAAGAAATTGCTTTGCACCGAGTCTACGAGATTAATACGGCCGACACTTATTCGAACCGAAGCTACGCTATATCGAAAGAAAAACGGTCCTTAAACGACTTTAATTGTATTTTCTATTAGTACTAACAAACTTTTGATTTACTTAGCTATTAACAAAAGCCTTATAAATATTAAAATCAATACTATTTGTTTATGCTTTAATACGGACTAGCCTTTCACTTTAACGAAACGGACTTAATATATATAAGACTATATCGAAAAAAGATACTATCGATCCCGTTTTAATTCCGAAACGACACTTTTAAGTACGAGCAAGTTCTAAAAAAGGTTCGTAGAACGATAAATGATCTTAATCTAAAGCGTCGTTATAAAGCTTTAAAAGCATAACGAAAATCTATTAAAAAAGCTGCACAAGAACGCGCTAAAGCATTTATTCGAGCAGCTAACGGCAATAATGCAAAAGCTTTTTGTATTAACGACTTTAATACTTCGGACATGATTCGTTAGCGATGCATCACGATAGCGAATTCATATGCTTACGTATTTAATACAAAAGCTATTATTGCATCGATAAAGACTCGAGCGCGCAACGCGGCTTTTCGAGTTACGCTATACTCGCTAAGAAACGCTTTTTCAGCAAAAGCAAAAGTCTAATCTACTTATAGCTAGCTTAAAGTTACTTTCGTTAAACTAATAAAAATAGATAAGCTCGAGCCCGCTTATACCGCGATTCTTAACCGAAACGCTTTACGATTAAAAGACTTACGGAATCTTTTCGTTATACTATTAAAAGCTTTTAAAGCTGCACTTAAGCTTAAAGCTAAGCTTTTTAAGATTGCTAAATCATACGAAAAGCTTAATAAAGTGATCTCTTCCTTAAAAATAGATTACGAAGCGACTTGTATTAAGCTTTTAAAAAGGCGCGATTTGCTTAAAAACTTAACCTTTAGTAAAACTATTACGTTTTTCGTTGCTCTTTTTACTTTTAAACGATCTTCTTTCGAAAGTATGATCGATAAGATGATTTAGCAAACCTTTATTAGCGAGAGCGCTATTAATTGCTTTTAAGCTACGGTTAGCGTTGCGGAAGCTTCGGAGGATTGCTTAATTATAAGTAATAAGCTTATACTAAAAGCGACGGATAATCCGGTAAAAGACGGACTTGCTTCGAGGTTTTAGCGACTTATTTATAAAAAAAGTAATACTTTTTCATTTAATAGCGATCTATTTTACAAAGTTACGAGTCGCTTTATCAATAAAGCGCTTTATCGTAAGAATTTACTACTTCTTCTTTCTTTTATTACTTCGACTTACGGCCGAATCACCGGTAAAGCAGACTTTATATAAGTCTTTGCTCGATTAAGACGGATCTTATATAAAGATGCTATTACTTAGCGATCTTAGCTTAAACGCTTATTCGAATTCTTTTAAATAATTAAGCCTCAATTGCAAAAGAACATCCGTAATAGCTAAACTAAGCACCGCCGACGCAATACGCTTTTCGTACTCGAAGCGCTTTCGATTTAAAAACGTTTTTGCTTTATTCTTATCATCGGCTTTATTTTAACTCTTTTTATAACCGTGTTTTACGATATTTTTTAGTTTTAATATCTTTTTCTCGACTGGTTTACTCGTAAAGATCGGCGTACTTTACGAATTATAATCGAAAGTGATTCGAAACCTCTTTCAACGGAAATCGGCCTTGCTTCGACGTTTAGCTAGCTATTTTTTAAATACTTTTATTATCATTCGCTAACTCTTAAAGTCATTATTAATATACTCGGACAGTCTTTAATTATTAATGCGCGAGCTATACTCGATACAAGTGCGAAGGTCAGCGTTATTATTTATAACGCCGCAATTAAATTCGAAGTTCTTATAACTTACGATT